CCGCCGCCGCCGCCGCCGCCGCGATCCGGGATAACCAAGGCCGCCAGGAAGGCCCGGACACTGGATCACGAGGCCTTTGGATTCGGATTCCGTGCGGGCGTGGAATCTGGAGCGGGTGAGCGCCAAGGAAATCCGGAATCTGGATGTGGAGCCCAATCCTGGGTCTCGGAATGCGCGGTCGGTCAAGACGAGCCCGGATTAGAGTTGTGGCTCGTGAATGCTGGAAAACCCAGCGAGCTGGTTAAGAGATCAAGTCAGGGAAACATAGGTTGGACAGCCTGAACCGAACGCTCTTTACGTGCAGAGAGAAAGTCTCGCTGGACCGGACTTAACGCCTCAAGGTCTCTGGACAAGCGCCGTACCTTAAATACAGAAGACACCATTTTCGACGATGACCTTCAACCGTGGGGCGCACAGAGGCCTACCTGGGGTCGGAGCGTGAGCGTGCACAAAGAACAGACGAGCTCGTGATAGTTTCGTCCTTTTTACCCTATAGTTGAGCAAACCCTCCAATTTTTTTATCCGTTTTTCTCATTTTTTCCGTCACAATCACCACTTGTTTTTCTGTACAAAGCAAGCATTTCTAATCCTCCTGGATCCCTTTTGAATTCACCATCCTGTGTCACTAAATCTTGCTGCTTTTTATTATGTATTTCAAAGCTCCTCCTCCCTCTCCCCACTTCCCCATCCCACTGGGGATCTAACCCAGGGCCTCTAGCTTGTTAGGCAAACGCTCTGCCTTTGAGCCACATCCTTGGCCCTTACTATCTAAGTCCTATTCTCTCCTTCCCAACCCACTATTCTATTGCTATCCATTGTAACTTTTATCTTGCCTTATCTCTGATTGCTCAACTATCTAGTACACAGTAGGCATTCAGTCCCTGTTTACACCACCCTCCTATCGCTTGTGAAACAGCAGTATTCTTCACAACCTGCTAAGCTTCCACCTCCTGCCATAGCAAATTATCTTAATTCTCAAGGCTCCACACTACTTAACCCCTATTATGTCTTTCCGGTGTCCTTGATCATTTTATTCAGCTTTGCAGTTATCTTTCCTTTCTCTTCTTATCCTGAGGCATCCTTCATCAGTGCCACTTAAGATAGCAAGTGCCTGAGAGATGGAATGAGTCATAAAATCCCTTTACTCCTCATCTCCATCTCCACAAAAAGGAGGGTGGGAAAGATGAAAGCTAAAGACAAAGCTAAGCCTGTCTGGTCTAGGGACGTAATCCCCTTTGGTCCACCAATATTCATTGTTCTTGAACAGTACCTGGAGTAGACCTGATGCTAGATGACTGCAAACTTTCCAGTCTGCACTGTATGATGATACAGGTGAAGACCGAGCTACTCAGTAGAGAAAGAACAGTTTGATGTTTTAAATTTACATGTGACAGTAAGTTTATTTACATGTGACATATCAGAGCTAAACATTCCAGTACTCACTTCCTCCTGAAGGATCATGACTACTGGATAGTACTAAACTGCAAAAGTAAGAGGAAAAGGGAAAGTGATTTCTACAGTTTAGTCAGAGAAAGCTCTCAAGCATGGGAAAAATCACTAAAAAGTTTTTGGGTTTTTTTTTTCTTCCACTAAAAATTTTCAAGGGATCAATAGTTTTGACTTCCTGTACCTGTAAACGAAGGACTGGCAAACTATGGCCCATAAAAGAAATGAAACTCACCGCTTGTTTTGATAAGTCTCATGAGATAAAAATGAGTTTTCATATTTTTAAATAGTTAAAAAAATAATCAGAATAGTTTGTGACATGAAAAGTACATGAATATTTCAATGTATGTAAATAATTGGTTCTAGCCATGCTTATTTACTTATATTATCTGTGGATGCATTTGCACTCTTACAACAGAGTTAAATGGCTATAACAGACTGTATGGCCTGTAAAGCCTAAAATACTTGTGATCTGGCCCTTCATGGAAAAACTTGCCAACCCCTGCTCCAGACAAGCACTGGCAGATAGAATGTTTTGTAAAGTGAAAATGGTCTGTATCTTTGCTGTTCAGTTTAAATAGCCACATGGGGCTGTTTGAGCACTTGAGATATGGTTAACAGTGAAAGAAGAACTGAATCCTTAATTTATATTTATTTATCTATTTATTTATTTATTAGTGCTAGGGACCAGTCCTAGGGCCTTGTGAATCCTAGGCAAGAGCCTGAATTAACAGTTAAATCACCGTGTAGCTAGTGGCTATCATATTAAACAGTATAGCTCTAAACTTTTCTCAAATCTTACATGTTAACCTTTTTTTGATCCGCATGCCAAGACTACTCTCTTCCTGCAACATATTTCCCTCTTAATTCTGTTACCACCACCTCTGCATTTTTCTGACTCTCAGGTGCATTTTATAGGTTTTCTTTCTAGGTTCTTCCATAGTCACAGCCCTAACCAGTTTCATCCCATGAATCAGGCCACATTAAGTGCACATATGTTAAGTGGCCATTTACACAAATGTCTTTTGTGTCAGAGGATGGCACTGCAGCTATGTATTTTCTTCCCTGAAAGAGAGTGGGAAAACCTCCACAGGATAAATCCCTTGTTGCTGGATCACCTTCCTCCTAACACATTCACAGAAGCTCAGACCAGCAGATGTGTACTTGCTATTTGAATCTCAAGGAAGAAAATGCCTCCAGCACTGCACTTTCTTTCCTCCTCCAGGCCTAACAGACTGAAGTTCACAGATTTTTCTAGTTTAATAGATACCTACTTTTTATTGGTCTCTTAGCTGGCCTAGAGAACAACCCCATACTGTCTCCATCTTCGCTAACAGCTCTAGCAAAAGCATTTTTAAATATTACAAAATTAAATGGAATCCACATAAATGAGCTTTAGTGGAGACAGTAGTTAAAATGGAAAAGATTAAGAGTTATAACTCATAAAAGCCCATAACTTTATAATTATTTGTAAAAGTAATCTTAAGTGTAAGTTTTTTATACCTACTCCTTAGGAAAATGGGTTTCTATAAACCTCTAGCTTATTAAAAGAGAAGGGACACCTAGTTTTCTGTCTCTTGATTAGCTGTAGGAAACAAAATTCAAAGCAAAAACATCCTTACTCTATTCAAAACCCCTTTTAGAGGCCATGGTCTCTAAAACCCTAAGAGAGAAAGTCTCCAGTTTCATACACATCCCACTATAAGCTTATATAAATGAGACTGGGTCCTGCATGGAAAGACAAAGCAAAAGCAGATTCTTTGAGTAACTATACAAACTGATAACTGAACCCAGCCATCCAAAAGGTGGCACAGATATTGAGGCTGCAACAGAAAACCAACTGAGAAACACAAGACTTCCCTAAGGCCAGACTGTCCCAGAGTTAAGAAGTCAGAATAAAATATTGTAAAGCACCGACTCGCTATTCCTGGGCAAGTTTGCACTCAGGTTGCTAAGAATTTCCACTAGGTTTTAAATTATGCTATTCATCACTGGTCAACTGAGGTCCACCTACCCTCAAGCTTCTCCCACACTTGCTCCCTGGTGTCTCTGAATAAAAGAGAGACCTTATGCTACTACCACCATGTGAAGTAAAAACAGGCTTTTACAGTCTAACCATGAAATTTCCAAGTTATTCTGCCATTTACTCAGGCGTTTCCACCAGCATATTTTGGGTGATGAGGTGGGTTCCTATAAACTTGTAAAGTTCTTGTAAACTTTCTTATCACAGCACACAAAATGGCCACATAACATCATCTATTGCATCTCCTGATGTTTTTATTTAGGCATACACACACAGTCCATCCAGGTGGAAAAATCAATCTGGATTCCTCTGTGTGCAGGCTGACTTAAATACAAGGCAGAGTAACTTCGTTTTTTTGTTTTGTTTTGTTTTGTTTTTTCCTCCCTAGGATCTTTGCCTCTTGCCTTTCAGTTTTATTTTGGTATGAGAGAGTCAGACAACTCGAGCACAGAATTCAAGGTGTTACTGCTTGGTAAACTATTAACTGCATAATGAACCCACTATGTCATTAATCGTAGGGTCTGCAGAAGGCCAGAAAGAGACTTTTTCCCTCTAAAAACATGTCATTAGTTGTCCTTTCCACTTTTTCCACAGAGTGACCAGAAAAAGAATACCGCATGTGTGCATCACCAGAAACAAGAATCTAGCAAGTTTTCCCTGAGAATCCAGAGTGACCCTGCAGTAGGAGCGCCTCAAGCTATGCACCAAGCGGGGTTCACAGTTGAGTGAACATCAATGTATAATGAGTGGAAGCATTTCAATGCAAATACACACTGAATATGAAGAATTAAAGAAAGGGGAAATTAATCTTTTTCATAACACAGGGCACTTTTTTTCTCATCTTCATTTTTAAATCATGCACACAACTGCTGGAGGGAGTCCAACTTCCCCAATGTGGTAGTGTTGTTTTAAAAAAAAGCAGAACATACATATTTAAGACCATGAATTTCCTTAGGATGCCAGCAACTGAGATTCTGATAGCTCTTCAGAACAGTGTTAGAAACAAAGATCTTCACTAAGTAGGGCTCAAGGAGATAGTGAAAATCTCATTTCAGATCTACCCCGTGTTCTAAAGTTCATAGGTTCTTGAGATACGGATGGTTAAAGTAGGTCTGGTTTTCACATTTGGGGTATTTGGATGCATTTATTTTTCAATTTGTTTCTAATTGCCCAAACCAAGTGATGCTTTTGCAATTCCAACAAATAGGGTAGCTTCATGCTGAATTAGCAGGTGGCTCCATTTCTTCCCAAGCCAATCCTTCCGTGTCCTGGCTTCTCAAATTAAAGAACAAAGTGAAAGCACTTGTTCAGGTTACCCACTCCCCCATCCCCAAATCTGCCAGAAGGTCACTCAGCTTTTCACTTTTCACTTGAAGAGATGTAGGACTAGAGCAGAAAACTTCTTAAAAACCTGTTGTTCCAAAACAGGTTTGTATTAAATACAGGATTCCTCAAACATCCTAAAATTTTACTAGACTATCACTTTGAAATGAAACTTTAAATCTAAGGAGTTCTGTTAAAAAAAAAAAATCAGTTGCCTGAGTTAAGAATTTTCCTAGTAATGAATATAAAGTTCAGAAAAGAAACTTGTTCCTTTCTCCAACACCATTCTGAGAAAAATGTCAAAGACCGAGAATTTTTTAAATAAATTTTTATAAATAATAAATTCAAAGATTTCAACCCACTACACAAAGAATCCCATTCTTTAACAAAAATATACAGAATTTGTTAACAGTTTAAATTCTGAGGTTCAAGCCTGATGCCAGGCCTTTCGATTTCTACTATTTCAATTCCAGAGGACCAGTGGATAGCAGTTTTAGTACACAAAACTCCATTATGCTGTATGGTTCCTTTTCTCTAGGATTAGACAGCTTTATTCTGCTTCATTAACCCCTTCTTCGCTCCTTGATGGATCTTAGAATCCAGTTTCCCTGTGAGGGAGAAAAAGAAGTCTCATTATTTATTTTCTGTATTTGCAATGCAAATCTTTCATGGCCTCCCACATCTTCTGGTTACTGTGTTCCTGTCACATTTAATTATCTTGCTTCAGGACTCACAAAGTTTGCAGTTTCATTTTTAAGAATGAGGAAGAAGTGGGAACCCTATATAGGGACACACACATGTACTGTAGTTGTGCAAAGAATTAAGAAGTTGGTATCTCTAATTCTGTAGCTCCTAGAAAAGAAACATGTTTTCCAGTATGTTTAATAGTCAAATTTTTAAAGAATGCACACATGTAGCCAGTTGTGGTAGCACATGCTTGTAATCACAACACTGTGGGAGGCTTAGGCAAAAGGATCACAAATTCAAGCCCACCATGGGCAATTTAGTGACTTAGCACCTCAAAATTAAAAAAGAAAGAAAGGGAAGGAAGGAAGGAAGAAAAAAGGCTGGGGATGAAGCTCAGAGCAAAGGCCCTGGGTTCAATTTTGCAGTATCAGAAAGAGGAGCGAGAGAAGGGGCGGGGGTATGAATGAGACTTAGAAAATGAATGCACACCTAATAAAGGAAGGCATTCACACAGTGGGAAACCCATTCTACTGACCTGTTAACTGGCTGCGCATAATGCATAAACCTCCATCACAGTGAGAAAAGCATTCAATTCACCTCTTTGCTGTCTCAGACTTAAGACTTAATAGGGGAACTGACTTCTGACAGTGGAGCAGAATCCCATGAATGCTTTGCTGACAAAGGGCCCCTATCACCAGCTAAGAAGGGTAAAGGTCATAGGCTATATGACTTTTCCAAGTGTTAAGTTTATAAAAGAGGACATCTTCACCCATCCCAGGTGATCCAAAAGAGAAGTACTTTACTGATACAGTCTTTAAACTCTGACACCTTGGATCTACCAGGATAGAGTTTGGTTCACTGGAAGCAGCTTTTGGAACCTTAATTCTCATGAAAATCTTTAGTAAAGTTACTGCCTGGCCTGAGAATAGAGCTTGCAATTTTCTTTCTCTAACAAGAAGCCTCATCTAAGTCAACAAGGATGCTGATGCTAAAAATAGAAACATAGTTCAGTTCAGCACTAAAAAATAAAGAGCCTGGGGTGCACACTCATAACCTCTGCCATTTGTACATTGTCATTTTTGTTTATGGGACAATCAGGTATAGCAGATTGAAACAGAAGAACTAGAAGTCAGAAGCCCAGGTGCTTCTATGGCATGAACAAGCTGTATAAACTGGGGGAGTGGGCAAGATATTCAGCCTCTCTGGATTTCAGTGGTCCTAAAGAGGCTGGGCGAAAAACTCAGCCTAACAATTTTCCCTAAATTCCTACTGTCAATTTCTCTAGAGTCACTCCTGCTTCTGGAATAGCATTTCATCTTTTCCTGGGACTCCTCAGAAGCCATCACTAAGTGGTACCCTGAATACCATCTACAGCAGTCACAATGCTGTTGATTTAAATTTGGGTTTTAGAATGTAGGGCATTTCCAGGGATTTAGGAGTTTTTTCATCCTTTAGGCTGCCTGGCTGGAAACTCCCAACATGTACCAGCAATCTGGCAAAGAGCCCAATTACAAGGCAAGTTTGCCTTTGTGTCCCTAATATTACCATAGTGACTGTCAAGTGGTAGATGCTCAATAGATGCTTTCATCAAGTGAATTAAACAAAGAAGGCAGACACTACGACAGGGACTACTAAGTAGCCCAAAACAGCAGATATCAGATGAATGTAAGAGTACCTGTTGTAAAAGGTGGTGATACTCAGAGGCACAAGTAAGCACTAGGTCTCATTCAGCATTTTAGAATAGATTAGGACAGAATTTAGAATTCCTTCTAGGAGTCCATACATCCAATTCTCTGAACAGAATAAACTGGAAAACCCAGCTTTAATTTTATTCCCGAAACTATATAGCTGTATAATCTTGCAGATTATAAATATGTAGTCACTCTTGTCCTAACTTTTTTCAACTCTAAGTGGAAACTAGATAATAGTACTGAAAGCCCTTTCCAGCTTTATGATATTGTGCCCTAAAAGCAAGATGTAAATTGGCTTAATTTGTTCCCAAGGCAATATGATAAAGCAAAAAGAGCAGGAAACATAGAGCCAGAAAATCATGAGTAAAACACAACTTGGTAAACTTGTTAACTATAAAATGAAAGCAGGAAAAAAAAAACCCTAAAGAGCTATTGAGATGATTACACCTAACATTATGCTCTTTCTATATTTGAGTTATTGTGCTAAATATTTTATATACTATAAGTCATTCAATCAAATACAGACATAATAGCTACCTCTCAATGTCAGCGGAGGCCTGGATCTAGGATCCTCTTGGATGCCAATATCCACAGAAGTTGGCCTCTTATAGTGCTGTACTTGCAAATACCCTACATACATCCATCTGTACAATCATCTCTAGATTACTTATGATACTTAACACAATGAAAATGCCATGCAAATAGCTGTTCTATTGTTTAGGGAATAATAATAAAGGAAAATGTCTGTACACGTTCAATACAGATGTAATTTTTCCCTCAAAGTATTTTCAACCCTTGGTTGGCTGAATTCATGGAGGCAAAACTCACATATATGGAGGATCAACTGGATTTTAAAGTACTTCATAAACTCAAAGTTCCCTGAAAAAAGTAAGGGTGCTTTTGATATTTATGCTGAGTTCTAGGAATTGTGTTCCTCAGTTATGGTCTCAGTTTTGCCTCAAGTTTTTAAATTATATCTGTGTCTGATTGCTCATATTAAAAAAGAGATTATTACCTTCACATTCTCAAAGTTCTACTGTATAAGAACATTCCAAGTCTAACTGAAAATCCCAGTCTAACTGTGACAAGAAACAGCACCAGCTCAGGTAAAATCAACCCATCAAAACAAAGCAGTCAATTAAAAATTCCTTAATCCCTCAGGCTGCTTAGGATGATTAGACATGTACAAGTAACCCACGAACTCTTTGCAATCAAGGACTCAGTCAAATCTGTAACATCTACCAGTAAGACTGCCAAAAGCACCAACTCTTTAGCTAACTGTGGCCATGAAGCAAGGGACTGGGGCTTCTTAAGGGCAGAGGCAGCCATCACCACTGCCCTTGTATTGCAGGAACTCTGAGCTCTGAGTTCTAGTTCACCCTGCTCTTGCAAGCTTAGGATCTGGATGGTAAACTACAGGAGCATAGAGCATAGTATACTCTCTCAGCAGGAAAGTGACAATGCTTATTTTCTGTATTTCCCTGTTATTTTCTCATTTAACATTTAGAGCACTTCAGTGTTAAACCACATCCTCAATCACGGTACCTAAAAGAATGTCAAGTGCATGCAGAGCAGACTGGCAAGAAATTTTAAGGTGAAAGAGTACCTGTCATCAACCCATATAGCTATCATAAGGATTTTCACATGCTTTACAGAGCACAAAGTTGAAGGAAAAAGAAATTTGTGAGCTAGGGTGTTTCTCAGAAGTAGACCACTTGCCTAGCTTGCACAAGGACTAGATTAAATCCTCAGCACCATAAAAAAGAAAATTTCCTTTATCTCATTTAAGTATTCAACCTATATATCCTATAACTAAACTTCACTTTTTTTTTGCTATTCCTAATTTGAACAAACAGGAAGCCAAATGATAATATACTGTTATATAATATACTGTTGTTTTCTGATTTATTTGAATTTTATGAAACATTTTCCCAAGGTCAAGCAAGTTCAAGTTTATGTTCCCCAAAACAAATAAAAATATACACCTTTAATTTAAGGCATATGTGCATGTACACACATGTGCTATAACACATAAGCAAGGTATATTCTAAAAGTTTGCCTGCAAGTCAAAAGTTTGGAACTCAGAATACATTTCTCATAGAACTAACTTATAAAGGGTGACCAGGTTCCTAAGCCATTCCACACATACACAAATTTAAGCCACAGAGGTATAAGAAAATTATGAGGATTAATACTATTAATATTATGGAACTTAATCATTTCATATGGTACTGGGATTAAAAACTTTCCTTAGTTTGATCCCTGGTACCAAAAAACAAACAAACAAACAAAAAAAAAAACAAAAAAACTTTTTTAGTTTTAAACTACTGGAGTTATCTCCAAGGGAATAAAGGAAGGGAGTGCAAAAAAGTAGGAAACATTTTTGTTTTGTTTTGGTTTTTTGAGACAGGGTCTCGCTAAGTAATTAAAGCTAGCCTTGAACTCACTATGCAGCACAGGCTGGCCTTCAATTTGCAGCGATCCTCCTGCCCTTAGCCTCCTCAATTCTGGGATTACAGGCATGTGCCACCACACCTGGCAAAAGTGGAAGACTTTTTTTTTTAGCGTCAAAAAGATGACACTTTTTTTTTTTTTTTTTTTTTTTTTGTACAAGAGATCGAACTCGGGTCCTTGTGCTTGCAAGGCAGATGGCGGAACCACTGAGCTAAATTCCGGGCCCAAGGAAGACTTTTAAAGAGGGTAAAGGGGAATGAAGGATGAGGGAAGGAGGAGATATGGGGAACAGAAACTTCACACTAGACTAAATTCT